GGAACCTTTAATGAATGAAGGCTTCAAATGTCCCTGTGATAAATTTCAAATTCATACTGGATGGACAGTTTGTAACAAAGCAGAACAAAAAGTGAAAAAGAAGACTGTGCAAATGAAAAGTTTATCCTAACAAAAAAGAAAAGTGAAATGCAGATTCTGCTTAGCAGGTTCAACCGGGTCACAAGCCCAGATTATGCAGTGACCACTGTTTGATACCCAGTGGGTAATTTCCTTAATTCTTTAAATACAAAAGTCCATTTGGTTTATAAATAACTCAACAAACAGCATTTCATATAATCAGTCTTTGAGTTCTTTTCAGTTCATTTGACCTTTGGCAAAATAATAATGATGATAATAATAATATAACCCCATTCTGAAAAAGTTGGAGCATTATATCATATTTTATTCTCAGTGGAATACGTTAAATATATTAATTGTTTAAACTAAGAAACTGCATTATATATTTGGGAAAGAAAATAAGGATATTTTGAATTTGATGGCATCCACATTCATTAGCTGTAAAAGTAAGGGATATGAATAAGAAAGAGCTGGAGGAGAATTTAGCAAAGCATCGGCTGATTGACAACAGGTCAGTAAAAGAACTGGGAATAAAAAGAGCTTTTTAGAAGTAAACATGGGCAGAGGTTCGCAAGTCTGTAAAGAAATGTGTCTATAAATAGTGAAACAATTTTAGAATAATATTCCTCAACAAACTACTGAGAAGACTTTGAATATCCTATCATCTGCAGTTCATAATATCATCAAAAGATTTCAAGAGCCTGGACAAATCTCTGAGCTTAAAGGACAAGACTGAAAGTCCATATTAGATGTTCTTGATCTTCAGGCCTGCAGATGGAACTGCATCAAAAACAGGTCTGATCCTGTCCTGGCCATTACTACATGCATCAGGGGCACTTCAAAAAAATCATTGTCTGTAAACACAGTTCACCCTGATAAGTACAAATGATGCTTAAAGCTCTATCACACAAAAATGAAGTCATAAGTGCAAAAAAACAAAAACAACATCCCTTTATATTAAGGAGAAGAAGGACCTTTTAGCTTGTTATCAGTGCATCGTTCAAAAGCCTGCCTCTCTGATGGTGTAGGGGTGCATTGGTGCCTCTAGGATAGGCAAATCGAGAAAAGCACTGATCAATGCAGCAAATATATGCAGGTTTTAACTTATGCTCAAATCCAGATTCTCTGTTTTGTTTTAGCCTTTTTAACCATGTTTGTTTCAGTAAGACCATGTCATAAATGTCGTACTGCATCCACTACAACAGTTTTGTAGAAGAGTGTGGGTGCTGAACTGACCTGCCTGTAGTCCAGACCTCTCACCAAATGAACACATTTACTGCACCATAAACATAAAATCCAGCAAAGAAGATCCAGGACTGTTAAGCAGCTAGAACTCTTCATCAGACTGGAATGGGACAAGATTCCCCTCCACAGACTCCAGCAGCTGCTCTCCTCAGATCCTTGATGTTTACAGACTGTTGTTAAAAGAAGAGATTGCATTCAGTCTTTATTGACATTTTACACAACTTCCCAACTTTGTTACAATTGAGGTTTGCAAAAACAACTTCATCAGTTCATACTGACAGCTCTTTAACTTCAAAATCTAAAAGACAAGCGTATCTGAGCTGCAGCAGCACTGACCAAATCTGTGTCACTGTGTCATGCAGCGGCAGGACCAATCACAGCACAGGCAGGGTTGAGGGACACCAGGACAGCCACCGTTAACCCAATCGCACGAAGGCACTCAGCCAATCGGGAAACTCCAACAATCCTCTAGTTTTCACATGAGTATGCAGCATTTTTCACACAGGCAGAAAAACATGTTTCTAAGAAACAAGACGCTTCAGCTAGAAGAACAAGCAGGTGAAAATGCATTTTTGAAACAAGTTACCCAGGATTAAACATTGATTTATGAATAATAAATCTAGATCCAAAGAAATGTTTTGTCTCCAGTTTTCTGCAAAAATATTCAGACATCCTTTCAAGTAACTCATCCCATGCACTTATTTTAACTCTTTAATAGGATATTTATGCTATGTCCAAAAAATACGAGCCAACTGTGTGCTTTGCTGACATCACTCAGTCTCTGCAGTTTTCTCATGCAGCATTTTGCACAGAATTAAAAGTTTTACTTAAAAGCTGCTTTGCACACTTCATCCGTCTGCCAGTCGGTATAAGTGAGGAACTTTGTGCGTGGACATCTTCCTCTGTCTGACACTGTGAAGAGGAGAGTGGGTTCTGGTTTGAACCAGCCCGATGAGTTACACAACACAGCAGAACGCACGCTGACAAGAGGGTGAAAATATTACCCCCTTTATTCACATTTCTTACCTCTACCTGCCATTTTGCAATAGATTTTAAAAATCTGTGTTTATCAAAAATGGTTAAAGAAGCTTTAATGTTATGATGTGATTGCACACTTGTTGACCCCATTTCATATTTTTAATACTTACATAACTTGGATGTGTGTGTTTTTCTTTCTCCCAACACACACACATCAGAGGTACCATGATCCAGCCTGTATATTCCAGTGGTTGTCATGGCAACTGAGCAGCATCCCTCTCCATCCTTTGTCCGGTGTGCCACCCCCCAGTCGCTCGAGCTTCCCAGGCATGGGGAGGTTTGGATCCTGCATGCAAATTGGAACCCTACTTGAGCTTTAAAGCAAGGAAGCAAACATTTTATTTGGAGGGTGAACGTGATGAGGAGGGGTTCCCACCGTAACGGGGTGGTGGTGGTGTTACAGCTCGCTTTAGGAAAAACAAGACCTCCGATCAGAATATGAACTTTAAGTGTTCATTTATCTGCATGAACAAAAGGAATACAAGAAATGGACACGATGACTGGGCATCTCTGGGAACAGAACATCATGTTCTGTTAGCTTCTAATCCTAATTATATTTGAAGGACTGGTCTGAGAGTGGTAGTCGGTAATAAGACTTGTTTATTTTTGTATTAGTGTTTGATAGATCCTTCGCTAAGATATCATTTTGCCCTGCCTTTAGAATGTGACAGGAGACTGTGCTTTTTCATGTATTTGTCTGTTTGCAAAATATTTCATGAACTACTGGACGGATTTAGATGAAACGTTCAGGAAATAATCATTGGGTATACCTCTACAACTGATTAACTTTGGAGTCAACCCAATTCAAGATGGCAGCTGTGGCTGAGTGGTTAGAGCAGTCGTCCTCCAATGCAAGAGTTGGGGGTTTGAATCCACCAGCAGTCACATGCCCAAGTGTCCCTGGGCAAGACACTGAACCTCTTGTTGCCTCCGATATGTGTCCAGTCGGTGTTTGAATGTGATCTAAAGCTCTGATTATTCTCTTTAGAATGATTTGTTCCATTAGCTTTGTAGAGATCTATAGAGTGCTGTATGAATGGGTAAATGAGGACACAGATTGTAGTGTAAAGCGCTTTGAAGTACAGTCCATTTACCATTTAGCCATAGCCAACGGAACGTAGAAAACACAAAAATGGCTCTTTTTCAGTCAACTTTTAAAGATAATGTGCACCTATCTGGTGTGATAGTAGCTGAGAGTTTTTCACATCACATAATTCAAGCACTATTCATTGTGCAAGATTTTTTCTAAAATCTTTAGTAAAGTAATCCTTGGATGTACGGTACATTTACAACTGAGAAAGCTTTGATGTCAATCTGATTAAGATGACCACCACAGCTAAACGACATCAGCCAACAAGGCTTTAACGCGATCATGTTTTCACGCATTAGGTTAAACTACTCAGAAATAAGAGTCTGGGACTCGAGAAATAACATGCAGGTGAAGAGTACACAATGTTTCGGCGTTCCTGAGTGCCTAGCAGATAAAGACAAAAGCAAAAAAACAGAAGAAGTTTTGAGTACATTTGTTGGCCTCAAGCCAGCCATCATCCCTGACATGGGAACAAACCTGCCCTTTTCTCTTACGATTGGTTAACTTGATCCAGGCGAAACCAATCAGCAGCCTAACTAAAAGCGTGTGGCGTGAAGGCAGCTGGGAGGTAGGGGAAAGGTCTCAGAAACAAACTCAGGCCCTTCCCCCAAAGATAGGAGAGCACAAAAGAGGTCCGTGTTTATGTCACGAAAGAGGAGTATGCTATGTGGCCGAACAGCCTCTTTTCTCTCCGTTTCAAAAACCAAGACTTCTCCAAACTGAAGTTCAGCCCCAGATGTGAATCTTAAAGCTACAGCAGCAAATGCGTTCCAGCATTAAACGTATAAAAACTAAGTTTTATTTTCTTTAAACCAACAAGACAGACTAAATAATTACCATAGTTCTTAGCCACAATTAGTTTCGGACGAGTTTGCTGCACTTCTGGGAGTATTGTCCTCAGGCTGCTGCAGGGAAGGAGTCGAATAACCGTCTCGTGAGTTCACCAATTTCCAGTTACCACCCACGGGCAAAACAACAAAACAAAGCTGCTGTTGAGCTTTTGGCTTGAAACAAGCCATATGACACAAAAGCATGCTTGGCAAAAGAAAGCGGAGCTCGTTAAAACTTTACTAGTTACCTTTGGGTGTAGTTCACTTCACTACTCCGTTTTGTTGACCATAAAATCCTGCAGCAGCTGCTTCAACAGCTTTTGCCAACTAAAGGCGTTACTCTGCAATCCGGAGACCAGCCTGGACTGATGATGCCAATATGTTCCTCTTTTTATGTAGTTGTGAAAAAAAATCCTCAAGTGTTTGAATATTTCAGTCTACAGCAAACAAAAAAGGTTTGTGCTTCAACTTGCTGCTAAAGGGGCAGATTCACCTTTCGTGCAAAGCTAAAGGCTATTTGTTAGATGCCAATCTAGCTCAGTTGGGAGGAAAAGTTAAACCATTAGGCAAACTCACATTTGTTTTATGCTAAAGTTGTAGCATATTCAGCCTTTAAAAAAGGAAATATTTTCTTGTCCTGTGGAAAGAATGAAGTCATTTAGGTCTTAAATTCAAGAGTCACACAGATGTGTTGTGATAAAATAAATGTTTTAAGTGCATCAATAAAAAAACACCAGGTTCAGTAAACAATGTTTTACCAAATTAGGTGGCATTACATTAAAGTCGTTAAACAACCAAAAAAAAAGTAAAGGATAAAACTCCTCGAGAAAATCTACAAATGGCATTATAGAATGACCCACCACATTATGAACAACTTACGTTTGGGACAAGTGCACCACACAAGTCGACTTAATGTGACAGAAATTTGAAGACATTAAAAAATAAAAACATTAGTAACATTGAAAACCGGACAGTTGAATCGTCAACACTTCAACAACACATGAACTAGTCACATTTATTACTTAAACACATTGTCGTCCAGTCGTAGCAGCCCTACCCTGCAGTGTCCTTTGTGCTTTAGTTTTAATTTTAGTCACAAACAGACAAAAAGGGAACGATATGACGCAGGTTATAAAAACAGTTATAAAAGTCAATCCTTGCTAAAGACGTGAAAAGATGTACCCTGACAATACCAGCTCAAAACTTCCAGGAACCTCGTTACCATGTCATGTTTGTAAGTTGACCAGCCAACTTTAAACCATTAGCATCGTGTTAAAATCATAGTGGGAGAGGGAAAAATAAAATATTACAGTACTATTTAAAAAGAGAAAATTGGGAGGGGAGTAGAGAGAGAGAGTCCACAAGTTGGGGTTTAGTAATCCGTTGGTTCGTCACCCTCCTCGTTCAGCAGACAGGTGCGGATCAGGGCCTCGGTCACGCCGTACGGGTCGCAGTTGGCCGACGGACGGCGGTCTTCGAAGTAGCCTCGTTTCTCCTGGCCGACGTTACGGGGAATGCGGATGCTGGCGCCTCGGTTGGCCACACCTGCAGAGAACTCATGGATGTTTGACGTCTCGTGGTGCCCGGTCAGACGGCGAGCGTTGTCAAGACCTCCTTTAGGATCGTAGGCACGTATATGGTAGTTGTGTCTCTTTGAAAGCTTCTCGATAGAGTCTTCAATGGCTCTGAAAGCAGAAGCATTGCGACGGTGTCAGAAATGCAAGATGTACCAGCAGCTCAGACTAGAAAATGCACTTTGCGAAGGTTTGTCGACTCACCTTAATCCACCGTCTTCTCTCATCTCTTTCGTGCTGAAGTTTGTATGGCAGCCTGCGCCATTCCAGTTTCCTGGGATGGGCTTGGGGTCAAAAGAGGCGACAACACCAAAGTCTTCACAGACACGATGAAGGATGAAGCGGGCTGCCCACAAATGATCACCCATGTTGATTCCTTCACAAGGTCCAACTTGAAACTCCCACTAAAAAAAAACAAACCCAAAAGTGTGGTTTGATCATTTAACTGGTTACAAATACCAGGTTTATTACAAAGTCATGTTTTGGTTTCCCATCCTTACCTGAGCAGGCATCACTTCAGCATTTGTTCCACAAATGTTGACCCCAGCATACAGGCATGCTCTGTAATGAGCCTCTACGATGTCTCTGCCATACGCTTTGTCAGCTCCCACACCGCAGTAGTACGGACCTGCAAAGTTACAGAGTTAACTACCTGGATAATGCCGACCCAACGCAGGACGTGCGATACAACAAAAACTTCAGCTCCTCACCTTGTGGTCCTGGAAAACCATTAGATGGCCAGCCAAATGGGTGTCCGTCAGTACCTAGGATGGTGTACTCCTGCTCCATGCCAAACCAGGGGTGTTGGTCCCCCACCATCTGCATCACCTTGTTGCATGTGAGCCGAAGGTTGGTTTCTGCACAGGAAGAAGGTGAATAACGTCAGTGCAGCCAAGTTTAACTTGTAATCATCATGTCAATGGTGGCTCAGAATGGATTAAAGCATGCGTGTCAAACTCAAGGCCCAGGGGCCAAATCTGGTCCCCAAGATGCTATTTTAAATGTAAAAATACTTTTAATTTTTTTCAGTGATCTTTGATTATGATGTCAAAAGTGCAACAGAGAACGTCGAATGAGGCCAATCAAACTATTGTTGAGGAACATGCAACCAAGAAAAGATGTTTGGTATCTTAACTTGAGTTTATGTAGATTCTGAAATCGACCCTTCCTTTGAAAAAAGGTTTTCATTTTGGTCCCCCCTTTTGCAAGTGGGTTTGACACGCCTGGATTAAAGTGTGACCCTTTCAATTTTAAACAGCCAAGAGTTGAAGGTGTCTAGAGGTTAGTCCCTAATAAATGTTTTAGCACCAACTGCTATTTTAATTACAGACTATGGAAAATACGTCTAGAGATGTGATTTCCACACAATGAAACTTGACTGCATTTGGGTCACATCAAGGTAAAATATTCCACCAATAACCAAGAAAAGAAACAAGAAACTGTCATTTACCAGCAGGTTTGCGGTTGTACTTCAGGACTTCACACAGCACCAGCTTGTTGGGGTCTTTGCGGAACGGATCTCGAAACATGGCAGCAGGGATCAGATACATGTCGCTGTTCGAGCCCTCGGCCTGGTAGGTACTGGAGCCATCGAAGTTCCACTCGGGGAGTTCTGCAACAAGAGCGCGACCATGACCACACTGCAGAGGGAGGAGGGCTCGCCAAACACCATAAGAACCAGAAACCTCCCATCTTACCTTCAATGCTTTTCGGCTCGGAATCGAGAGTCCTGGTTTTGCACCGGAGCCCCTCTCCTGTTCCATCGATCCAAACGTACATGGCTTGGACTTTGTCCCCCTGAGGGAGCTCCATGTACTGCTGCTTGACAGTTTTACTCAAGGTGGCGCTGGCAGACGTGGCCATCTTGCTTGATACTATAACACACCTGAAAATGAGGAGAGCAGGTTTGAGATTCCCGGTGTTTCGCGGTGGACCACATGTTGCGTAATGGGGGGGGGGGGGGGGGTTCGGATTGAAGGGGGTGCCCAAACCACCCACAAAAACAGCGCCACTGTTTTCCAGAAGGGGGGAGGGGATGAAAACTACCGAGGATGTAAGAAAAAAGCCACATAGTTTATCTTGTCAAACAAAAGAACCATTTTTTTTGGATTATCGGATTAAATTTAACTCTGGTGACTGACAGCCGACAGAGGATGACACACTGCAGATATAACATTAATCTACAGCGTGCTGTTGAAATCACCACGATTACGGATGATGGCAGCAAGACAGAGGCAGCATTACATCAGCTCCTTCCTGGTTATAATTGAACACACACCACAACTACCGAACACGAAGAATAGGACCATTAAACATCGAGTTAGGAGTAACAGAGGCCGTTTCTACAACATAAAAGACCGTAAATTAGAATTCACCGCATGATCAAGTCTACATGAGCGGAGAAAGTCAGGTTCAGAGAGTTCACGCTGCGCGCCTGTCCTGCGTGACCGCGTCAAAAATGGACACAAGTAGAGAAAGAAGAGCAGGTTTACCTGGACAAAGGAGAAAATTGAAATAAAAACTAAAGGACTGGCAGGTCCAAAGTCTCGTCGGATGGTGGTTCACTAGTATTTCTCTCATCTCCGGTACCAGAGCCTGGCAGCGGAGCCGCATTTATAAGAGCAGGAAGTGGGACGGCGCGCGTCGTTGATTGGTCGGAGAGAGGACAGCAGCTGCGACGTGATTGGACAAGAGACAAGACTCCCAGGCAGCACCTGAGCCGCCTGCAGAGAGCTTTAACTAATGATAATTACTTAATCTGAAGGGCTTTTATGCTATTTTACTTAAAATGAGACCAGAAACAAACAAAGGTCTCTGAAACGGAACGAACACGAATCAGTGATGGACTCAGAACCGCGTGGGACAGAATGTACCAAAATTTGTACCAAATGTACCAAAACTTCTAGTCCTGACAGGTCTGAAGCGCCACCGTGTGGTGGATATTAGGACTGCAACAGTTTAAAAAATAGACTGCCGCAATAAAAAAAAAAAAAATAAATTAATTGTAATATATATATATATATATATATATAATATATATATATATATATATATATATATATATATATATCACTGTGCAGAAATTTCATTTCATTTTATTGATATACTTTTTAAAATATTTTTATACCGCTATAGTACAATTTAAGACAGTATCATGCTTTTATTATTTCATTTTATGCTTATGTTTAATAAATGTTTTTATGTGAAATGGTTATTGTTACACCGGGGTCTGAGAGAAATGTAATTTCAATCCTGTGTATGTCCTGTACATATTGCAGCTTTTGACATTAAAGTGACTTTGACTTTGATTTATTATCAGTTTAGACTAAAACGAATCAAAAAGGTATTCAGCTGATTGAAAAACGCAGTTAATAAAAGTTAAAGAAAGCAGGCTAACAAAAAGTGTGGGGTTATAGTTTAATTTTCAAATCATTTTAGAGAAAATGTTACAGTCTCAATGATTAACCTTCACACTTTTTGCATATTTAGACAATATTTGGAGGTACTGCTAGGCTGAGCTAGCTCACAGACTGCAGTGTTTAAGCAGAAGTTGCATTTTTAAATTCCTGTCCGATTATTAATGACAACCAATCAATTTATGTTATATTTAATCAGTATATAAGCTGGAGTAACAAAAGTTTTACTTTTTTTTTTCAGAATATACAAAACTGATTACCTCAATAATGAAAACTCAGGTTTTGTCTAAAAGGATATTACATATTTCCAAGATATTCAAACCACTAATTTTATATATATTATATATATATATATATATATATATATATATATATATATTAGAATTAACTTTACTTAAATAAATTAAATGTTCTAAAAAGTTTCAAGGAAAACTAAAAAGCACAATAAATCAATTTTTGAGCAAATATCACGATTTATGATAGCTTACCTGCCTATTCTGGTTTTGCAACGTAATCAGATTTGAGTTATGGGAATGCAGAAAATGGTCTGTAACGGGTGGGTAATGTGATAGAAAACTGGCTCTGGTGTTGGGCCTGGTCTGAGCTGGTCTGTCAGGGCCGGCTCTCGTTCACAGCAGATATTTAAAGTGGAAACGAGCACAGGTGTTATAATGAGGTCTGCACCCACACATACTGTCAGCACAGGATTTTATTCCAAACCCAGTTTTAAAATTCAAACATAATGGAGCCTTATTCTAAAATGAACAGACATAAAATGAGCAGAAAAAGACACCTTTGTCAAACAAATTAATTTCAAAATAAAACTCAAGGATTGTAACCACACCGTTTGTCTAATTGTTCCTATAGAGGTGGTTTAATGCTTGAACAGATGACATTATTAGCCAAACATGAAGGATTATTTCTCCAAACATTCAACTTAACCTTTGATGATTAATTATTTTATTATTCTGTGAAAATACTTTTTATTTCAAAGCTGCTCGGCTGATGTTCATTAGCTTTTGACAGTTTTACAGAAGAAGAAGAAACCTCAGAACCTAAAACATCTCATAGTAAAATACAGCAATTCAATCAGTTCTCACTCCAATTAAATTTCCATTAAACTCCCTTTTTACTACAGCTGTGGATTAGATGTCTGTTGATTAGTTCCATGCAGGGGGACACGGTGGATCAGTCGGTAGAGCTGCTGCCTCTTAGCGAGAAGGTCAACTCCCAGCTGGGGACCTCTCCGGGTGGAGTTTGCATGTTGCAAAACCTCTCAAAATACAACAGAAAGAGGTTCAATCATGTCATCTGGACAACGTTTCATCCAAAAGACGAAAATGAACCTTTTTCTTTCAAAACACAGTACAGTAGATCTTATAAGGGTTCCTCTAGTTTAAAATCAAACAATTTCCTTTATTTTGACTTGGGACTGTGTTGCAGTTTAACTTTGTGTTCTCGTCAGAGGCAGACTTATCCCACTTCAGGCCTTTTGACCCCAAACAGGCTTCCTGTCAGTGTGCAGCATCCCTTCAGCAGTTTTGTGTCCTGTCTTCAAATTGATGAATTTACTGCAACATCTTCTTTTCAACATGCAATTACATTTCCCTCCTTTGAATCAATACATCACTTGAACAGTTTCTAACTAGATAAAGATACAACATATCAGAAACTGAACACACGCGCTCCTCTCACATCTTTCATCACGTCATAAACCCGTCATCCTGACAGTGCTGCTCTGCCTGTGTCGGTGAGCAGCGCTGCAGAGTGGACTGAGCTCTTTGGAGCAGTCATCAAGATGAGGAGGGACACGTTTTAACCTTTAACATCTAATTTAGAAACAAGAACGATTAGCTGTTTAATAAATCCTAAGACAACATCAATTTAAAGCAGCTATTTGTGTACATGACTAAAGATGGTCTCTTTTATATATATAGGCTATATGCCCTTTTTTGTCATTTTTGATTTTTACCAACACAACAATATTTAGGATATGTAATAAACCAAACATAGAAGATTTAACTCCTTAAAAATATACTCAGCTATTTCTCTCTTTTTTACATTTTGCCATTAAATTAAAAAAAGGAGACATGAAAAAGTCAAAAGACAATATTTACTGGTCAATGAATTGTGCGACAGATGATAGACATCTTAAAAAGAAGCAAATAAATTAATTAAATGTGTTCAGATTAGTTACATTTCAGGATTATTTTTGCAATCACATAAACTGACTTTAATAGTTCTGCAAAATGTGGGTTATAATAAGTGGATCAAGACTCAAAATGAGTCTTTGATTCATTTAGCTCTGAGTTTTTCAAAAGACGCTTTTTATTAAGACTCATTCGTTGCTTTGGATCAGAACCAGTTCCTTTCAGAAACCGGATCACAAGTACACCATCGTCCCTGTGAACCTCTCAGTCGTTGGGAAGGTGTTCAGACAAAGCACGTGGAGGTGTCACAGATTACTCAGCGTCTAACATCCCTGAGGGCTCGGTGCAAGCAGCTTCACCAGTCTGTTGGGAGTTTCCTGTCATCTGATACCTGATGTTTAAAGAGGGAGGAGGACCACAGAATGGAGAAATTCGTGAGAAAATCTTGGGTAAACAAGAACGTGGCAGAGGTTCACCCAGTTCAAACCAGCCCTTCTGTTTTACGATGTTCTCCATATCTATAAAACCAGTGAGGACAGACTTTATCTGCTGGAGGAACCTCAGGGTTTAATAGAAAGAAAGAGGAATTTGAAATTGATCACCTCGATAATTAAGTAAATTTTAGTTACATACTGAGGTTCTACTGTGCAAAAGTCTTATTTTGTATTCAAGGAGCCAGAATTTCTCTTGGTCAATATTTCTGCAACATTTATTTTACCTTTTAAAGTTGTTTTTTTTAGACTTTGTCAGCATTTTTTACTCACTTTGAGTACCTGGCCAGCTTCAGGAGAATGCTTTAATGTGTTGTTTTTATTGATTTAACTCTGATCTATGAATCATTCAGGTGTAAAAAGGCTCCTCAACTCAAGGGACGAACTGGTGTTGTGTCTCCACATGAAGGAAAAGTAAAAAAAAAAAGATAAAAGGCTTTTTAATTTTAGCATCTTGTCACAGAGACAAAAATTGTTCTCATTTTAACAGACAAATAAAAAAACAAACACAAACAAAAAGTAGACCAAAGCTCATGCTCATTTATCCAGGTGTACATCCAACAATGTTCAGTCAGGTCATCTGGACGGTTCCTTTTGTTGCTGAGACGTTTCATCCTTCATCTGAAAGACTTCTTCAGTCTGAGGAGCCCACCAAACCAGCAGCGTTTCAGCACAAAAAAGGAAACTGTCCAGATGACCTCCTGGATTATTGAGCATGGACTTTGTTGGTATGCTCCAGAGCAACTTATAGACTGGAGAATATGGTATATTTGCTAAGAATCATTACTTTGTAAACAATATGTCAGTATCAATTGTGGAAACTTGGTGGAAAAGTCCATTTGCTATGTTTCTGCATCAACCTTATTTTAATATAATAAAACTGTAGTGCCACACTCCCACTCGGCTCCCAAAGACAAGCAGCAGCAGGTTTTACAGTTCTTCAAAAGCAGCTGAATGAAAAGGAGTTCATCTGAAATCAGTGAGATCACCTGAAAGCCAGTGGATTCGTGTTTCCAGCAGAGGGCAGCAGTTACTTGTGTAAAAATGTGTTTGGTCCAGCTGGTGAGTTTAATGTCAACTAGCTGCTTTGTTTGCTCATAGCTTCTGTGGAGAAGTGAAGTGGCAGGGTTGAGCGATTTATAAATGTGGCACATGAAGAGTTTCCTCTTTATCTCCTTCCTTTAGAGCCGGACTACAGAGAACAGATCTGATCCTGGTTTGAGGCTCTGCTCCCTCCTTCACCTCTCGGCCTCTTCGCCATCAGGCTCCCACCTCTACAATCCCTCAGCTGTCATATATCATCACACCCCTCGAACCCACTAGACAACCCTTAACTTTATAAATTAATAAGGCTGACAACATATTTGTCAGAATCTCAGTGCCCGTCCTGTGTGCCTCATCAGTCCGGCTGTAAATCAGGCCAGCAGCGTCCAGGGACCAAAGCTCCTTCCAGGGTTCTTCATATGGAGCATCGTTAAGCAAACAATATGCAATAACACTTATTGGCTGCACAGCATGAAGAAAACAAT